ACTGCTGGCAGGCAGTTTTTTCTGTTTGTTTTTTGTTTTGGTTGTTCAAACTAGTATGTAACCAAATAAACAGTTGTGTACAATTAACCTGGGAAAGGGCCTCCCTATATAAATGTACTCCTTGATGAGTAAAATACTTGAATACAGTATTTGAGTACCATCAGGCTACCAGTGTGTGCATAATGCATGCATACAATGAGCTTTGATTTTTTTTCACAATGCAAAGAAATAAAAACTAAACGTGCGGCAGACTTCATGATGATACGTGTGTGTGTGTGTGTGCGTGTGCGTGTGCGTGTGTGCGTATGCGTATGCGTGTGCGCGTGCGCGCGTGTGTGTGTGCGCCTGAGAACCAAGACTATTTTTTTTAGCCCTATTGTCTTGTTGTGGGCATGTACACATCCTGCTATTATTAAGCAATATGGCTTCCACACCCCAAAAAGGGTGTACTTTCGTGGCTATTGTTTTGTGTTCTGTTGGGTATTTTGTTTTGCTAAGATGGAATTTCGGAACTGAAGTAGTAAAGTAAGGAAGCCAAATCGTTTTAGAAAGCTGACATCTGATGGCTCAAGAATCCATGCATCCTTCATTTAGATTTGGCTGTCGTTGGTGGGTTTGTTGTTTAACGCCGCACTCACCAATATTCCAGCTTTATGACGGCCGTCTGCAAATAATCGAGTCTGGACCAGTCAATCCAGTGATTAATATCATGAGCATCGATCCACGCAATTAGGATCAATGACATGCATCAACCAAGTCAGCGAGCCTTACCACCCGATCCCGTTAGTCGCCTCTTACGACAAGCAGGCTGTCAAACATAGCTCAGGATTCAGCAGACGTGACCTTCTATGGAGGTGTTCTCAGATCTTCCAAGCATAGAGGAATCATATGGGAGTAAAAGGTCTTATAATAACGAGGATTGTGAATTGAATAGCACTGAAGTGAACCCTTGCAGGGTTTCAATGTCAGAGGCTATTTGAGATAAAAGAAAGAACATATTTACTTTTTGTGGTATAACATATTTTAATATGGCTGTGTAACTTAGTGAATGAGTGGCCTTTGCAAAATAATCTGATTTGCATTAAATACATATGTATTGCCATCTCAAATTGATTCTCTAACTTTTACTATAAACTTGAGGCTGAAAGTGACAAGTAATGGGTTCTTTGGCGAGGACAAGTGATACACCTGTCTTTGGGTGTGACAAAATGTGCCCCTCAGTTCTTACGTGCTGTAGCAATAAAACAGTCATTCTGGGAGGTCCTAGGGAGACGCCTGAGAACCTGTGTCACTACAATCTCATTAAAATCAGGTGTTAGTGCTCGGAGGACATCAGATTGTAAGTCACGACAGGACAACATTTTGAGAACTTTGACCGACCAATGAAATGACCAACAGGAAGTCGACATTTGCCAATCAGAAAGCAGCTTTCTGAGGCTTTATGGCACTAGTTTAAAAATGGTAACTTCCATTCACGACTACATTTGAAATTTCTTTGACAAACTTATTGATTCAAAATTTGAAAACTGAACAAAGAAAATACTGGATTGTTTGACAGGTATCGGAGATTGTATGGCAGTACTACCCAAGGGCTATGGAAATGGAAAAGTCTGATCCATTTCAAATGTTTATTTTACTGTGGTTGGGTATGCCTCGTGTTGACCTTTCAATCTGACTGGTCGGATCGGTGCGCCCTGTAATGGGATGTCCTCAGATCTTTGTGTAGCAGTAGGGAGCACAAAGAGATGCTGATTTTAATGAGATTGGCGTGACTATGAAACAACATAAATCCTTCTGCCTTCCTATCACTTACACAGCAACTGTATTCAAAATAATGTATTACTGAGGTAATTCACACACTGTAATCTCGCATGATCAGTATATATATATATATATAAATCCTATTGTAACCATAGTTAAACCCTGATACGTCTTTAACACAGTCTGTGCCAAGGGCCTGCGACGTATCCGGTGAGTTCATTCAACTGAATACATTTTCAGACTTGTGCTTCAGACAAAGAGCTAGAGAAGCAAACTGGTTACAGAATTATCAGCCTACTAAGGTTAGGTGTTCACATGTAACACACTGTGTCTTCCCAAAAGTCAGGATACAAACGTCAAGTTTGTTTTATCAGAAAGCAACCGCCTTCCCTTTGTGATTGTTCATTGCAAGGTTTTGGCAAATGTTGTGAATATCATCATGTTGGACATACATGTATTTCCAATAAAGCAGAAAGGCACAATAGTCAACAGATTGTCCTGGGAACAGTGAGTGAGTGAGTGAGTTGGATCTAATGCCGCTTAGAACAGTATTTCGGTTATATCCTGGCATGTGACAGGAAAGCCCATGCATACCTTACATGTTTTCCCATGAGCATGGGTATGGTTCTGACAAATCAAGGATATTAAAAAGGGTGAATCTTGGATTTGAACCCATGATCATCAGATTCTGGCATGCCTAAGAGAACAAGTCTGCAAAACATATTGTGACACTGTCCTAGGAAAAACATTGTTTAGTTGAAGATATGACAGTAAACACAGAACTTGGAACAAACAATATCTTGTCTTATAGGAATCAGAAAACAAACAGTTTGTGCAAAAAAAGGATATCACCTGTAACAAACATTTGTCTCAACAGTAACCAGCGATGATTTCATTACATCATAAACCTAGCCGACACCTTATTCCAGAAAGGCAGTGGCAATAAGCAGAAGAAATACAAGTTTGTGACTGTTATCTCTTGATGCCACTTTGATCAAGGGCAACACCTGCTCCTGATTGACAACAAAAGAACAGCTTAATGTTAAGGAACATTTTGGCAAAATGGAATACCTATCCCCAGATACATGTAATGTTGAGGGTCCTGGCTTGTGACTCCAAATGATGGTGATACTAGTGTGTCACTAGCTTGTTGAAGAATACACATAAACCTGTACACATTTGATCAATGAGTTACATTCAAACACACTAGAAACAAAGTCAAGGGGATCACCCATGAAAATATTCCCAACTCTGACGATTACATCCTCTGTCAAAACAAAGTCAAACCATAGTGAAAGTAGGCTGGAAATTACTATGTTACATCTACATTACTGTGAAGTCCATAGGTCGAAACCACAGCTCATGAAACCCCAGTGCAAAGATAACCTAGATAAGTACTGGATGAAGATGAAGCCACAAGGTCCCAGTGTGAAGGAGATGGTTTCCAATGATGTGACATTAAACAAAACAAGGAATTGAAAATGACAAAAAATAAATAGGTACAAAAATAGTCTTTCTTCTGAAATCAATGTGGACCACTATTTGACCAATTACAACACAAACACAGAAATACTGCTTAAGTAAAATCTAAATGTAAACATCCAGGCTAAAACTGTAAGTTTGCAAAACGGCATGACGTTACCATGCTAAACAAAAGGAAGGAGGCACTGTGCTATCAAGGATGTTCCTGGATGTTTCCAAGTATGCTACAAATGACTAGACTGGTGTGAAGCAAATCCTGTGATGAGCAAAGACAACAACACATACAATACCAGTTACTGTATGCCATGCAAAACACAACATTGTCTTACAGGAAAGGAGGATGATGACAGCAAATTATGTCCTTTATGATGAGAATAAGGATTTCAGAGTAAGTCATGAGGTGTCCCTTTAAAAACAAGTTTCATGAATAGTGGGATTTCTCCATATCACAACATTGATTAAGATTGACAAACACATTACATGAAATGTTGGTTTTGTTTGATAGCACTATAACATGGGACTGAAATTGTTTTTTTCACTATGGAACTGCTTTGAGAGTTCTAGGTCAATATTTTCATAACACATTCTGACAAAGATCGATGTAGCAAAGAATGTATAGGTAAAAAAAACAACTTAAAAATGTAGCAAAGATTTTGTTTTAATCAGTTAATAGCTAGGACAAAGGTAATGTACCAAACATATGTTAGATATCTCCCGTGGAAAGCACATGGCAACGTTTGAGATTAGTGCAATGTGGGTTGAAGCAACAATACATGTCTTTAACCAATGAACCATGGTAATTAGTGGATGAGGTCCCAATAAAACAGTCAGGGATAAACAGACATGTAAGTCAAAATATGAAAGTAAAAACAGGCCAAATTGCGACAAAATTGGTATCAATAAAATACTTGTGAGTCATTTTAAAGGCAGTGCTACCTTCAAGACAACAGAGTTCAATGGGACCGACCCCTCATTTAGATCTATACTTCCATATTTTACAACGGTCCAAAAGATGCCTTACTGATAAAACACACACAGACATACATCCATATGTTCTGAAATTTGTAAATCATAATAATAATCAGCATAAATCTTATAAAGAGTGATTAAAGTAAAATCAAAAGCATTAATTATGTAGTGCGATCATTCATGTGAAAACAGCTACAATACTTATTCAACAGATTACAGGTCACAGCATTGGTAGCATCACTCTCAAGTCAAATATATCTGTTAAAATGTTGAAGCAATTCACATTCTTTAGGAATATCTAGCTACCACTCAGCTATAATCATGTAATTAATTGAAAGTAAACCAAGAAACTACGCTTCGTTACATTACATACATAGATTGCAAAAAATAGTCAAGTAAATCCTTTGATAGAAATCGACAAGTCAATTTGAATTGTTTCAAGTAACAATTCTCAGTTACATCACAGATGCTTTTAAGAGAAGTTGACCCCTCTGATTAAATGTGATGTAAAATCAACTTCTAAACCCATACATTTATTCTCAATCTTTACATAGCCGGTATGTACATGCACATTGGTTTCAAACCTTTCTCCACACTCATCAATTGGAGGAGCTCAAGACAGGTGCTATCACTTGAAGCACAGCCTGACTCACAGAAACTTTCACCCACTGCTAATTTCTTGGTTTACTGAACTGATCAAATAATGGCAATAATGAAGATTATCAATGAATCAGATTATGTCATATTCTACCCGCTCAGTCTGATAAATGGCTGCACGATAACTGTACCTATCAGAAAGACTACGCTGCACTGGCTTGGCTGGGGTGGAGAAGATAGGGACAGTTGGTGCCCGGGGGACATCACTTGCCACGCCTACTTCCTCATCTTCCCCAATGGCAGTCTCGACAAGAGAAGGTTCAAGCTCGGGAAAGCTTGTCATTTTGGCTTGAAGGAGATACACGTAAGTTTTGTATCTTTTAAGCTGAAAGGAACAGATGATGAGTGTGAAGATACTGTGTGAAATGTGAAGGCAAGAATATGTAAACAACAACAATCATGCCGAGGGACAACATTAATGAAGTCAAAGCTTAGCAAACCCAAACAAACAAATCCCGTGAGTGCTTGGCTTGCAAGTCACATGACCCAGATCCAGCAATATCACGGCGAGGGACACCAGAAATGGGCTTCACACATTGTACCCAAATCAGGAATCGAACCCGGGTCTTCAGTGTGACAAGCGGACGCTTTAACCACTAGGCTACCCGACCGCCCCCTTTTACTCACAGAAAATTCAACCATTGTAGATTGTACCAACCCAGATATAAAAAAAAGGCTCCATATTAAATTGTTTATTTCTTTAAATTAATTAGTAAGTATTTTGCTTTTACTCTTTAAAAAATCTACTTGACAGAGGTATGTAAAAAGTCTTACAGGGCGATAGAACACATGATCTTATGAATTCCACTTGTCTAACATTGCCACTAATCACAGAAAGCAACATACCTCAAATTCGAGGTAGTTTTCCTTATCAAGGTAGTCTTGTATGACCCTGACCTTGGCCCCCTTCTCTGGGGCCATGGCTCGGTGTTGGTGAAGGTCTTGCTCCAGGCTGTTCACATGGTCCTCATGGGTCAGCAGCTGGTCCTTCTGCAGGGAGGAGGTCAGGGGTAACAGGTTTAACGTCGCAAATCTATTTCACTCATACAGTGATGTGCATGCACATGTGTGACAACTTGTACTAGTCCAAACTTATGCTTGTTTTATAGTGCTAGCCCACAGAAGTACTAAGCGGTAGTTCAACTCAGTCACATGATACTCCCAGCCAGTCAATCCTTGCTTTATCCCCTTCATGCCAAGTGGTAGGCAGGGTAAACAATGCCATCTCTTACCACCTGGTGGTATGATGCAGCCAGGGATGAAACCTCGGACCTTCCGCTCTCTGGGAAAACCTACACCTCTGAAGCAGTTTGACATAAGAGGAGAAGAGAAGAAGGCTGGGCAGGAGGGCAGGGGAGGGCAGGGGAGGGCAGGGGAGGGGAGGGCAAGGCAGGGCAGGGCAGGGCAGGGCAGGGCAGGGCAGGGCAGGGCAGGGCAGGGGAGAGAAACCTCCTTCAATGGACATAGGTCTACTTTCACAGGTCCACTTTCACCCAATTCAAATTCAAGATAACAGGATGTGTGTCTTTATTCTAAGGCACTGACGTATTTCTGCACTGTAACAGTTAGCAACTAGACCAAAAGTGTCTTGGTTCACAGGTGCTGCCAATTTGGGAAAATACCACTAAACAGTGTTCAAAATTAAGCAAGAAAGTTTAGAGGCTCTTCTAATAACCCTAATGTTGAAAGGTAAAGATTTTGGGAAACCTAGATTCAAGGACCCAAAGACACCCCAGCCTTTTAATTTTGGTCCCTGGGTGAATATTTCACCTTTAATAACGAATGGCTGAAACTCAATTTCTATTATTTCTTCAGCCTTATGGATATCAAACAATGCATTTATACCAACTGTCACTACAATCATTTCAACTGCAGTACAAGAAGATGATTCACAGATATTTCAAGGACTTCGAAAAGAGTGCAATGATGTTTCAGCTACCACATACCATATTATGCCTAGTGTAGCAGGATGACAGTAGAGGGCGCTGGAACCTGGTCTTGGAGCCACACCCTCCAGGGAGTGGGGGAGCAGAGAACGTGGAAGCAACCATGTTAATAGTATCAATCCACTCTTGCAATTCTTTACTGTCACTGCAACATATGGAAAACAACTCAAATATTGTCTTAACCTCCTTATCCAAACCATCTTAAATTTGTATTCACATGTGGAATATCCAATACATATCGGCACTTCGGTGAAACCCGGGGGCACAGATATGTTGCTGACAAACCTAGAAACACTATCAGAGCGAACTGTGATTTGAACCAATGATCATAGGTTGCTGCATAGTGAAAAGTGGTGCCTTATACGAATGGACCACAAATACAACATGGCATTTTCAGTGCAAATTTAAAATTAGAATACGCAATAATAGGTTACAGGATGCCTGCGGGAAGCAGTTCTGCACAGCAAATTAGACAAAGGGATCACGTGTGCCTCCTGAGTGCACAGAATCAGCCATGTCACATAGTAACCACACAGTTAGTCTGTTAGGGTGTGGGTAATGGGGGAGCTTTTTTATTTGGGAATCCAAGCTGGGAGACATGACTGACCTTGTCTGGAAGAGGTACTCGCACCAGTCAGCTGTCTGCAGCCGGAACACGTGCTGTTTCTTGGTGTAGTCTGTGGCCTTGGTGGCCAGGGAGTGGTGGATGCGGATTGAGTTGTTGGCGCTCTCCACGAAGCCCCCCTTCTTCAGCTGATGCTCGTCCTTGTACAGGTACAGGATCATGTCCCTCAGCACAGCACAGAACATCTTCCAGCCTCGCTTACCCATGGGGGCTGGACACAGAACAATATCAGGTTAATAACAAGCTACATTCAGATGCTTATTGATGTCATGGGTTTATAGAGCTTTCATTTGCTGGGTCACATTAAAAATACTATATTCCTGGCTCATACTTTGACATTCATTAACAATAGTTTTAGATCACTTTGTGGAACAGGACCCTTAGTGTACCTGGCAGGGTAAATTTGTAAAAATTAGTGCCACTGCACTGTAGCTCACCTGGATATGTAATCAAATGTTTGAAACACAGCCACTGAACAAAACTTGCTGTCAGCATTGATACTTAAGTATTTAAGTTCAACTCTTTCACTCTGACAATTTCAGAGGATAAGAGTATGCAAGGCAAATATGCATTTCGAGAGAATTTAACAACGAAACAAAATAAAAAAATGACAATATTGACAACAAAAAAGCTAGGTCTTGTGTGCTAAATTTAATTACATTCTGTACAAAAATGACCTAAAAACTGGATCTGGATCGGTTCCATTTTGAATATTGGATTCAGATATTTTGAAAGAAAGTGTCTGGGAAACGGTCATAAGAAGTTTCCATCAAAGTGTAAAGGTAAAAATTTCACAATTTCATTGTCCCTGTAGAGTAATGTTTTTGACAGACAATGCAAGACTTACAATGCACTATAGACAAATTGCCCACGACATAAGCTCACTTGACTCAAAGTCTGAGGTTTGAGGTTTGAACTTTTCACTCTGTCCACCTTGGCACTAATACCATGAAAAGAATGTATTTTTTAGAGTCAACATTTTCTTTTAATACTAATTGCTGAATTACAAGTTCAGAACAAAATTTCCCAATTACTCAGTCGGCATGTAAATGAGAGTGACAAGTATGCCGGCTTGGTCACATGTTTCCGGTGCGCAGGTGCTAACCAGGGGTGCCTCTGGGAAAGCTGTTTATTTCTGTTCTCCGGGAACGGTCCCGAAAATGTCCACCTTTCGGAAATGAGTTGTGATAAAATTAGTAGGACTAAGGATAAGGTAAACCAAATGTGATGGAACATTACTTTTTAGTTAATAAATAAGTAAAGTATATCGTTGAAACTCAAAGAAAAGGAAGGTTCTTTGTTATTATATCAAAAAGACAGGAAATTTGCATTTGTTGTATCGGGATAAGAAATTAATATATGATACACTTGCCATGAACACCATTAGTGCTGTTCAGTGGCATAAAAAGGACTTGATACAGACACAAACTCTAAAAGGACAGTGAGTGAGTGAGTTTGTTTTAATGCTGTTTTGAACAGTATGAAGTAATATCATGGAATGCCAAGTGTTGCAAGTCTTAGACGTTTACCCACAAGCAAGGGTATGGTGTTGACAAACATGAAACCCTTGATCACAGGTATCTGATATGCCTGATGGATTCAACTTAATGTTGACCAGCAAGTTAACTTGTTTCAATGCACAATGATGACATGCACTTACTTCTTCTGCCATCCATATCTTTGCAGCACTTCCTCATCACATAGCCTTTCTTGTACTCCGTTGTCTTATTCGGGTCAGGAGTCTGTGACATGAGATCAATAACATTCATGAGAAGGCACTCATTTGCTTATTCAATACACAATTCGTGCATAATAGTAATGAATATTTTCTTGGAACTAGAAAAAAGGTGGACTTATTAATTAGTTAATTTTAGTTTTTTTTTCGCTTGTTGTTGAACACCACACTCAGCAAGATTAGTTATATGAGGGTCCTGTAAATAATACTGTCTGTACCAGACAATCCAGTGATTGACTGACATTAAGCACAACGATCATGACTTTGTGTTATGATGACATGATATTAAACGTTTCCTATTTTGACCCCCGAATCCCCACGGGACACAGCTCTGGTGCCCTACTCACATCTAGGAAAGGGTTTTGTCCTATTATGGGTCCAGAGCCTGATTGAGCCTCTTGGGAAGCATCGGCCTCTGGCACATCGTCATCCCTGCATCACAGGTAATTAGAAGCTACAGGTATGCATAATGATGTCACGTGATTACAATAACACATCCTGCATTAAAATTACGCAAGATTATGTAAGGAAACATAACTCCATTTCCCAAAAAGCTTCCTTTCAAGAATGGTATCATATGAACATATATTCAGTTAATACCAGTAGTGTACACTTGAGCCCAACAGGGAATTAGACACAGGAAATCTTACTTTGACTGAACATATTAAGATAACTAGATACCATAATATTACAACTTGTCTTAGTACTACATGGTAACAATAGCAAAGTGCCTGACAAAGTGTGCCACTTACACAGCCCAGTCTAACTGCTCGGATTTGATCGACTGGTAGATTGACTTCAGGACTTCTCTGGGGAAATTCTCACCATCATTTAGCTCAGATAAATTATCAATAAATTCAGAACAGGTCATTTTCCTCCCAACAAACTGCAACAGAAGACAAATATAAGTCACCTCTAAGTGCACTTTACATTTATTAATAACAGTGTATCCTTCCAACATTACTTTGGTTAGCCGGTCACTTCAAGCACCAAAAATCTAAATGCCATGATAGACAACATCACATTACTGTATGGACAGTTATAGTCATATAGAAACAAATCCTCTTTAATAAGATTTCAAATAAGTCTTTCTTCACACGTTGTTTTAATCATTTCCATGATAGACATGATAAAGTGGTCAGTTGCAGCCAATGAGCAACATCTTCCTGTCTCAAAGAGACTCAAGCATCTGGTACCCAGGCTTATCCAAGTGAACAAGTCAAGCTATCAGGGGTGAAACTATGATGAAATGAAGAAAATCAAATTATCCACAGTTCCCCAATTATACAGTCTACCTAAAGTGAGTCGCTTGCAGTTTCTTCAGTGTTGCAAGTCACTTTCCATGTCATGATTGATGACAGAAGTATGTTATGGTACACTGTGAAATTCAAACACATCATTGCATCGTGCATCGAACGGTTCAGAAAGGTTCATTTCCTACGACATGACTGATTCTCATCTTAAGTGTTCTAAAGATCTTCTAAAAAAATGGAATAATATAGAAGCACATCCTTCCGAAAGTTGACCAAATCATGAACATGTCCTGATGCCATTTAACAACTAATTAAAAGACTGAATGAGACACAGTGGCCCACACCCTTACCTGTCCATGTAAATCTGTGTTGAGCAGCATTATTGCACATGTTAAGGTGTGACAAGCGTCTGAAACAGAGGGATGCTACTTAGTTACACACATATAAATTCAAAGGAGGGAATTATACTGTAGTATACAATCAGTTCCACAAAGCAATATAAGATCAGTTGTTGCTAAACGCCATAGTCAACAATGGTCAACTATACTCAGCAAAATAAGGAAACACAACGTGATTTTAAATGTATATCATCCTTACAGCAGTGAAGCTCCATACATCAACCACTAGGAGGCCATGCAATGCTGACTTTTAGAAAGACTTGTTCTGTATTCCTTATGTTTACCTTATTGTTAGAAATGATAGAAATGACGTGTCACACCACAGTATGTATTCCTAAGCAGATTCATTCAGTTTGCACATTGGTTTTTCGATTCTTATCTCATGAACCGAAAAAGTCCACAGTCAATCCTTTAATGTTTGAAGATAATGAAGCATGTGAACAACGAAGCATCCAAAAGGTCCATGCATTTATGATTAATTTGACAATTATGAAGACAACACAGCAATCCTGCATAAACATGATAAACACATCCTAGATCTATCTCTGAATAAGTCACTAATCCTGGACAGTATCCATCATCAGGTTCTAACCTTGGTCCCCATGGGATGAGTCTCAATTTAACTAAAGTCTCACTTTCACACATCTATGTTAATGACTGGGTGTGTCCCTAGCTGTAGAACTAAGGTTGCTATGTGGCTTAAGACCTGAATCATTCATTGGATCAACAAAAATCATAGGGAAAAGACATTTATTGACCTTTCAAATTGTGTTTGTGTTTTTTTTGTTTAACACAACACTATTGCAATATTCCTGCAGTATGACTCCAGCCTGTAAATATTTAAATCAGGCCAGACAAACCAGTGGTTGATATCATGAGTCCCATGCTGCCAGGATAATAATATGACAGGCAAGTCATCTAGCCTGACCAGTTGATCAATTTAGTTGCCTCCTACGACTAGCATAGGTTACTTGGGACCTGTATTAACCCGGAATCCCTGCAGGGTTAAACCTCTCAAGACAAGACAACTTACCATCCGAGTTGAAAGATCCTGGGTTACAGATCATGTAGTGGTGGGAGAAGTGAGCCAGCACTCTCTCCCTCTCCTGTGTCTCCCCGCTCAGTGAAAACTGCAGCAGAAACTTGCGAAGAGCCCCGTCCAGCGTAAGCCCCTTGAAGTCAAAGAACTTGAGATACTCTTCCGCCACCAGTGTGCTGAACTCATTTCTGAAAGACAGGAGTCATACAGTGTAAGAGCAAGTGAGTGAATCAGGGATAACGCCACTGTGAACAATATTTCAGTTATATCACGGTTTGTCAGCTTGATGTGGGAGGAAAGGCAAAAGAAGCAGATATTAGGCAACATAATAATAAGGACAAACTAAGATTCGAACCCACCATCATTGGTTTCTGGCAAGCCTAAGGGATGCAACTCTGCACACTGAATTCTGGTGCCTCAGACAATTCCACCTGTGGCCCAAAACTGTAAAATTTATCGTGAATGCTCCTATGGCGATACAGGGTTCAAACAAGGAGTGTAATCATGGTAATGACTACTGCTGTATTGCAATTGGCACTATAGCGAGAGGAATTTCAATACGCAATCATATCATCAATGGTATGCATAACAAATGCTAGTTTCAACAGTTGAAAAAAATAAATTAATAAAACATATTTTATGTGTAAGAAAACTCAGTTTTGAAAGTCTATTTTCAAATGTGCCCTGTGCTGCTGAGCAGGGATTGCACAAACTTCAGATTCGAGTTACTACCCTTTGAATAAGGTAGTGACAGTGAGATAAATGGACAACTTTGACATTTGCAATACTTTATTCCATTGCATCACATTGATTAATATAATTATCAAGTCTCAAAGTTGGTTTAGAACTATCGCAATACTATTGCAACAGTTGACAACTATTGCGGTCCTATTGCGATACAATCTCACACTAGTGAAAATAGCCCTGCCCATACACTATTAGCCTGGCTTTACCATGACCTTAGCAAGGGTTTCATGATATTTTCTATCAATTAAAAACACCACAAAAATAAAAAAACTTATTTTATACTCAATTAATGGTGCAATTACTTCAATTTGGTCAAAGCATTTATTTGCGGTGTGAGACAGTTCACCAGAAAAAATTTTTATGAGACCGCTGCATATACACGCTGGTCAAGTAACAAAAAAAGTGCTTTGCAAAACAAACAATTTCAACTGACAAGTCCAATGAGAAATTTACAGTTTAAAAACGAAACATTTTCAAGAGAATAACAAATGGCAAAAAGCGATATTAACTGCATAAATGACCATCTGTCATTATTTTGCCTTGTCAATGTGGAACTTACATAATAAGGAAGTCAACCGTTTGTGTACGGACGAGACACTTAAGATAAAGGAAACAATTTGAAGGGAGGTAACTCTTTTATGACAATAGTTCCGTCAAAGTATTATGTTCACTGCATAGAAATATCAAGGGTTATATTCATTGCAATGAAAATAAAAAAATTCTCAACCTCAGAAAACTCTATGTTTCACACACAAGTATATAATAAAATCTAATATGAACATGGGAGCGAAAGAAACCAAAATATATTTGATTGAATGTAACCACTTGATCACATTGATTTAACAAGTAACATTGTGGTTGTGGAGAACATACTTCGGCAATTATAGTGAATGTGAGTGAGTATGCTTTTACGCCACTTTTAGCAATATTCAAGCAATATCACAGCGGGGAACAACAGAAATGGCCTACACACATTGAACCCATGTCAGGAATCGAAAAACCAGATCTTCGGCGTGACAAGCAAACGCTTAAACCACTAAGCTACCCGACCGCCCCTTGGCCATTATATATATAAATATATGGTACCAGTAAACATGAAACAAAAGTAGACATGGTTGATTCATTTTGTTTGCTTGTTTGTTAAATGCCACACTCAGCAATATTCCACATATATGATGGTGGTCTGTAAATAATCAAGTCTGGGTCAGACAATCCAGTGATTGACATCATGGATCATCAATTCACGCAATTGGGATACAATGACATGCACCAACCAAGTCAGCAAGCCTGACCACCCGATCCCATTTGTCGCCTCTTATGACAAGCAGTCACATTTTATGGCAAGCATGGGTTGCTGAAGACCTATATCTCATAAGGGGATGTATAGGTCAAAGGTCATGGTCTGTAGATGGCTTGCATTCATATCTTTTGATAATAATGATGAAAATGCGATTCTTGGCAAAAGCTATGTCTGTTATACACATTGATTACAGTTCAATTATCATAATGTGATGAGGTGAGGTGAAATTGGGTTTAACGCCGTGTCCAAGATTATTGCTTATATAGCGACATGCATGCACGTGTGTGTGTGTGTGTGTGTGTGTGTGTGTGTGTGTGTGTGTGTGTGTGTGTGTGTGTGTGTGTGTGTGTGTGTGTGTTTGTGTTTGTACTAGTCTGGACTGATGCCGATTTATAGTGCTAGATCACTGAGATACCATGTCGCAGTTTAACATGAATACCCCACTCAGACACAGTATACTGACGCCAAGCCGACCAGTCCTTGTTTAAGCCCCTTAATGACGAGCGCCAGACAGGGTAACAAGTACCATCTTTAAACATCTTTTGGTATGATGCAGCCGGGGATCAAACCCCGGACCTTCCGTGGACGTTCTACCACAAGACCACGGAGGCAGTCCAATTATCATAATGACCATGATTATACACACAAAAATTGTCAAAAAGGCAAAATGAAGGTTTTGACAGTGAGAAAATCCAATATATGAAGATCTCCATTATGGCAAATATATGATATTTACGCTGAAAGTATGCTCAAAGACAACACACCTGGACGCAATTATCAAGGTCAACACAGTGTCCATTCTTGGACCAGCCTACTCAAACACAAGCTTAGAATCCCTCTCCAGATCAAAATCAACAGTGGGCAATGGCCAGCAAATGGTGAGTGTCGGTGACTATCACCATGTATTTTTATCTTGCCCAGTACTCCCTTCAACCATACTACTAGTCTTAGAGCATTGTAGAGGTTGGGTGAGGTGGAATGGGGTCTAACATCACATTCAAAATTTTTGAACATATGTATGTAGCAGTGAGTGAGTGAGTGAGTGAGTGAGTGAGTGAGTGAGTGAGTGAGTGAGTGAGTGAGTGAGTGAGTGAGTGAGTGAGTGAGTGAGTGAGTGAGTGGGTGGGTGGGTGGGTGGGTGGGTGGGTGGGTGGGTGGGTGGGTGGGTGGTTTTACGCCGCTTTTAGCAATATTCCAGCAATATTACAGCAGGGGACACACATTGTACCCATGACAGGAATCGAACCCGGGTCTTCGATGTGACGCCTAAATGCTTAAACAACTAAGCTACCCGACCACCCTCAATGTGCAAGGGTTTATGGTGCTAGCCCCTTGAGATACCATGCCGCAGTTTAACATGGATAACTATTCAGACATAGTATACTGACACAGTACAAGCCTTTGTTTTATCCCCTCAATGCTGAACACCAGGGTAACAAGACAGGGTAACAAATAGTACCATATTTTGGGGTTTGACAAGGATGGAGATCGAACCACAGATCTTCCACTCTCTGGGAAGACACTCAATCCACTAGACCACGGAGGCAGTCCACTGTAGAGAAGAAGTACTACTATATTATTCATGTCCATGTGTATATCATATATACAACATAGACATATAGTAATTTCTGTTTACAACTACAAGGCAATAGTTTTAACATAAACATGCTGCCACAGGTGTTCCACCATCAAACACACAGCCAACAGGTTCCATACACAGCAAGCTCCATGTGCATGACACATGCTCCATGCTTACAAATCAATCAACATTAGCACTGAACCAATCAACCGTGAAATAATAAGGGCTTAGCAATCTGCTAATCGGATCAAATCTGAATTTTTGTGAGGTAAACTTAATGCAAATGATGGTTGCAATTCTGTTTGGACAATACATGTAATAATATGTAGTTTATTCACCGTATTAACTTAATAAGCAAACCCCCCAACAAACTTCTAGGCCAATGTGTAAGTACCTGCTACAAAGACTGATCATTTAAATGACAGTCCATATTTTCTTGTGTACATTAGAGATTTCTTACAGAAAACTAGCCTGTTATAGACCCTGAAACAAATATATTCAATACAGCCCATGCAAGTCTATAATAGTGGGCAAGTCTCGATTACTGTAGTTTCCTAAAATGAAGAGAGTCATCTCCTGGACTCATTATATTTTCTTAAGATAATTTAGCAACTTTTTTACCCTGTAAAATATGTTAATTTCAGAAACTAGAAGTTATTCTAACAGAAACTCAGTTTGTTCACTTCCACTAAATCTCTGAAAACAGATTTTCTCCTTGAACATGATAGAAGCTACTGAAGACTTAAAAATATAAAAGGTGTAACTAGCAATGTACCCATCAAGTTTTCATTATCAGGTTATTATTTGAACACACTGAAAAAACAACAAGAAAGGCAATTCATACATATGAACATGTCAACATGTTCAATATCGGTTCATAACTCATAATTATAATAACTGATAAAGTAGCACCTGTCATGCAATACAAATAGATAATTGTGAAAATATCAATGAATGGATCTTGACTGATAGTGATAGGTCACTGAACTTGTAATAAATTTGAAATACCACAGTCCCTACTGTAAATATTACACCACTGACTTACTGACTGAATCTGTTAACAGTCACCCTTACAAGTTACAATGTTTGGAAGTTACATGTATACGGTGTCCGAAATACTTTTTACTCCCAACAAGTCAAGCAGACCAATGACTTATACATGTGTCTGTACAGAAAGTTGCAGGCTCCCATTTGTAAATACGTATAAATACTAAATATTGTAGATAATCATTTTCTTCAGATTATATTGGCTCTGTGCCATAAACATTTACTGCTTTATAATCACAGTAGATCCTGGTCTCAGGAAAGTGAGTCACATGTCAATGTCTAAATCTAATTTAAAATTGTCAGTGTGGGACTGGTAATGAAAGTTTTTACGAGACAGTCAGGCAGGAAGGAAAAAATGTCACCTATTCCCACAGAAAGGTTCCCAGCAACGGGAAAGTGGACAGACAGCTATCTCTATATTCAACAGTTTAGGAGTTTTGCTCTGAAACATAAGGTTGACGGATGGACAGACGGACATGCTGACCTTTATATCCCTCGTTTTTTTCAAACCCGGGGAATAAAAAAGGGTGAACTATCCTCAAATGGTCTGTCATTTCCGAGTTCTCCCAATCTATACAATCTGACTGAGTCTTAATATTTGAATGAGTTTATGGCACACTAAAGATTGAAATTTGAAAGTCTTCTTATTCTATAAGGGCTAGTAACCTTTGGCTGGGCTTGTTTGGTTTTTGAGTGAATTTCCATCCCTGCTTCATGTCATGATATTATCATGATTATGATACTGATGATATGTACCTAAATAGCAAGCATGGTTAGGTCACAATACAATATGTACTCTGCAAAAAAAATAAAGAAACACAAAAGTAGTAAAATCATTAATATCTGACAGAGTGTTGCCGACATCCATACAAACTAAATACCAAAATTGAATTGGTCAATTCTGCATGGATAGGGATTGATTTGTGTGGAAAGAATGAAGTACTGCAGACATTTGGCAAAAAGATAGAAATAAATGATAGATTGCAAAGGAGACAAGATTGCTTTCGTGATGAGTCACATGTCATGCTTTGTCGTGAGAATGTTTACAGGCATAAAGGGGGAACGTTACACATGAAACTGCATAAGGGAAGCGGACAGATTTGGTTGTGGTAGTGTGATAATGTGGGCAGCCATCTCCTACACTGATAGAACAGACTTGGTACAAGTTCTGGGGACTTAAATGGCACAATGTTACACGGATGAGATTTTTCGGCCACACGTCCTTCCCATTATGCAGTAAGTGAACGTCATTTTCAAACAAGACAACTCCCAACCTCACATAGCGGATCAACGACTGTGAGCATGTCAGCAACAACCACAGAATCTCCGAAAGTTGGCACAAGCACTGCGGGCAGGGAGGGAGAACATTCCTCAGGCCACAATTCGGGATCTGATTGCTTCCATGGGACGATGATGCCAGACAGTTTTGGACTCTATTCGATTATTCATATGATATATAAAATATACATTTAAAATCACTTTTGCCTTTCTTTTTGTGCAGAGTATATGTCATCCATGAAATGTTTACACTCAGTCACTCCTATTATCAGCACTGAACAGGAAGCATATTGAAGACCCACCAAAACATTTCAGGCATAATCAGTAATTTACATATGGCAAGATCCCCAATATTGTCAAAAGCTCTGTGGTAAGAAACAGGTGACCTAAACTTATTGACTTTACTAGCCCAAATTTGTGTGCTTTGAAAGAAGTTTGAATCAGACAATGTTAAATGGCTTATTGCATATATTGTTTTGTACTGACTTAATGAAACTGTCAGTTAATTCTTGCACTATTTAATGCCCCTTATCACTGCTTATCAATATCAATATTATTAATATTATCATTGTCAGGTTTATATTGTTTGTGAATTCAAACATGAAACTGGATGTCAAGGGTTACCTAAACTGCTAAAGCTATACTATCTATTTCAGGCAATATGACCCAGGAATATGAAGCTTGGTAGCTTGATCCTGATTATTTTATTTCATCCTCAACATTTAATAAGGTTTTTTTTTATTCTTGTCTGGGATGGAGAGACATTCTGATGTGGGTGTGCATTAAGAAAATTACTTTTTTTGTTGCTATACTGCAGGGTTGAGCACGTTGCCCAAAACAAAGACTTTTTATGTGGCATAACATTAACAGACTCACACTAACAAGTTCAAACAAACACAAAAACTGTGGTTTATTTTAGACAAATTAGAGGCAACTCCCAATTCCAAACCACCATTGCCAACAAACCGATCAAATAGTCAGTTGCTCAAATAATTATTCATAATTTTCTTATTTTATTGTATATTTTAGAACTAACATTATCTGGAAAAAAAACCCACTAAATTCAAGATTCACATCACAAAGTGACATTTACCTAAGTAATGAGTACAGAAAATACTTACTTTTTTGATAAATGCCTTGATACATCACTCTTACGAAAACCATCGAGCATAAACAATCTTTTAGCCAGTCTGGAAGCAGATGGTCTATCCACTCCCTTCATTGGCTGATGGTAAAGACTCTCTGCATCTGAGAATTCCAACTCCAGGTCTATATGGTTGATGTCTTGTACTTCACCATACTCATTCCTGGATGTATAGTGACTTGAAAGGGTTGATCCCGATCTACTGGTTTCCAAAGCACTATTATTTACAGCAAGTCTTTCACCATAACCATTAGGTGAATCATCATCATCTTTCAGTTTATCTTTCACTTTGGCTTTTAGCGGTTTTGGATCATCAAGACTTATGAATGCAGGCATGAACACTCGCTCAGAAGTCTTTTCTGTCGGCTTCCTTTCCGGAGAGTTGTGTAAACTCCGTGAAGCAGGCTCACTAACATTATCAAGGGAGGCAGTGGAACTGTCATTGCAGTAAGCAAGCTGGTCCAAGGAATAGGCCATGTTGTCATCAATGTCTATAGTCACAAGCTGCATTGCATTTCCAGACTCTAAGTAATTCTCATGGCTTTTACTGGTTCTTACTAACTGCTGTGGTTGGGCTTGTTTTGACTGACTTGTAATTTTCTCTGCACTTTTACTGGTGACCATGACCCTATTGATGGCATCTTCTGAATTTGGCACTTCCGGGAGAGAAGAGGACTTCTCTCCTACATCTGAGTCGGAGCTGTGGATGTCAGGGTGCACACCACTATCACCGGAACTGGGTACATCCTGTAAACTTTTGTCTGAGCCACGATCACCATTGACAATTATCACCTCAACTGGTGACCTCACAGCCTCTTTGGAACTGTCCTCAGTAACAGGAGACACTTTTTCTCCTTGTGAAAGCTGCATTTTTTCATTGAGAGAGGCTATGAGTGATTCGCTCCCTGAGGACTGAGACATATCACTAAGGTCTTCGACAGTAGCAACAGGTGCCCTTGGAAGCTCAAGAGGAAAGGCTGGAGACGGTGTATTTTTCACAGTCTGCTGTACCCCAGACAGATTGAGGTGAGGGGAATAGACCAGGCTGGACTGGTCACTGCGTATACTTCCATCCACATCACTGTAACTCAAATCCTCCCCGCCACTCTTTGGGGTGCCAGACTTGCTGCCATCTTGCCTTGATTTCGGCTGATGTGGAGGAGTAGTTTTGATTATCATGTCTCCTGTCATGAGAAATGTTTCAAAGCCTTTTCCCTTCCTGTTCTGTGGAGAAATAGCCTGAGGAGACACCTCCTCAATAATACCGTTTTCATGAACGGTCAAAGTGAGACTGTCTTTTTCCTTCAGTTTGTTGGCTTCCCTCTGTTCTCTAGCTGCCAATCGCCCATTCATAGGAGGCGGAGGGCTTCGAACAGGGATTGGAATGCGTGAGGGACTCTGGGTTGTCCTGCTTGCCATTTTGGGGGCCAGCAAAGGCCTACCAACAAACCACAGAGATAGTCGCCATTACTCCAAACTCCTCTGGCAAAAGTTATCTCCCATCTGAAACAGAAAAAAATAAGAGTTATGATGGTTTTAGCAGCAGTGGTTTATACTCATATACCACTTGTTAACCACGCATCAAAATCTAGTGTAATTAGTGTGCTAACCAGTAGCACATTGTACTGGTAACTGATGAAAGTTATTACAACTTTTTGAATAACATTAACAGCAAAAGAAAGGGAGAAAAGAGCAAGTTCATCGTTATCATGGTTATAGTAGTTATGAGTCACTGCTATTCCACATCCTCATGCTGTGGTATGTTTCAAATGTAATAATATATTATTGACAAACAGTTACATATAATATATATATATGAAAATATGGTAGGCTGTTTACAAAATTGATCAAATATGACATATCCTGGGTGTTAAAAACTGAGGGAAGTTAAAGGGTCTCTAGGACTTTCTCATTTGATTTAATTATTATTTTAGACTTGGGACGCCAAAAGTCTCAACACTGGAGTTTTGACAAGGAGCACCTAGTTTCATTTTTTTTTTCAAACACTATCATAATTAACTAAACAGGTTAAAATCACTATGCTCATAAGACTTCTGAATGACTGTTCATGATCCTAAACATGTTGTACCAGCTAAGAATATGATTTCTGTCTTGATAAACAAACTTAAGCTGTCCTTTCCAAGGATCAATCCAAAGTTGACTCAGTATTTATGCCCTCCACAAGTGTCATTTCAAACAATGAAATGATCTAGTTTGTATGCACTGTTCGTAAACAAATTTATAAAGATACTAAACAGTTTCCGGGCGTATAAAAAGGTGCATCAGTAATGTGGAATAGGTCAAATTCATTATCCACGATGAACTCATAGATCATTAACATTTAACAAGAAACAACCACTCACATAAACACGTTAGCAAAACGTAAGTTTTATCTCTGGGGCGAAAATATAAATAAAGGGGCAGTTCCATTTTGTTGGGCTTCTTGGGGGTGGACACGCGAGTCAGCTGTAAATATGATATGAAGATGTATATTGTCCGCTTAAAACTGAGTCTATACTGAACCTAGTATAGAAAACATATCAAAACGTGACCAGAGACACATGTTTGGCTTCATGAAATTTGACAGCGGGCGGAATAATACGGAAAGTGCTGGGTGTAAAACATCAAAAATAAACTTTCCCCGCAGGGACTCTCTACTTTCGAGTCTTATCGTCGTATCCATAGCCCCATTAGCTGAAATATGGGTTCACATAATCAAACAGAAGCTATTAATAATCAGTTACCTTTAATTAGTTCACTGATAGAGAGAATGTTGGAGGAATAATTTGATGGAAGAACAAGGAATTACATCCTTATACATCGGTCGACTTCCGCCATGCTGTCGTAACGCAAAATCCCGCTATCGGTCATGTGACCTTTTCATGCTATATGAAAATCGGACGAGAACTTGCGAGATCAGTAGAATAACATGGCAGAAATCGTGAAAACAGTGGTGGTGAGTTTGATCGAAAAATGATTTATAACTACGACTTATTTCACAATGCGTATCGATAACTTACAGGCACATACAGAAGAAATAATGGTTTCTTATGTGGTCAGTTCTGGAAACGGTATTTTCATAGATATGTCGATTGTACCGTGGATGTGCGTTATTTCGTCTGCTCTTGGCGTCGACAGATCAGCTGATGTTTTCAAATACCAGTAGGCTATTTAATCATGGTTGGATGGTTTTCAGGCACCTTTGTTTATCCAGTTATTTTTATATCATTCATTGCTTAAGTATGCTTGAACGATAGCCGAAATTCTTGTCTGTAAATAAAATATACACTTCCACAGACATTAGTTCGCATTTGTACAAATGGTTCAAAGGTTAAAGCAAGCACCCATTACCGCAAGACATGATGACATCATGCTCACCCATTATGAATGCTGCATTGTTCGAAGCCATATTTTGTTCATATGAAATTGATAGGACACAGATCCAACATATAGAGTACCATCAAATGAAATCTTTGTATTTGTTACCTGTTCTGCAGGCCACCCAAAAAGGACCAAAGGACAATGGTTTATGAAACATAGGACGTTTTCATTCATTCACCCAAAATCCAGTTTATCAGTTGATATATCTTGATCAGATAGATTTTTTTATACCACCTACATTGAATTATGGTGAGTTCATGGTCTTGCAATTATTTGAGAGTGTTGAGTTAGCTGAATAAACATGATGAACTTGTATGCTTGATGACACAAGATAACATGTTCATTCATGGATATAGAGTTTGGGGTCATGTCCTTAATGCTTTGTGTGACAATTCAGGGCAACTGACATGTTCGGTCATAACAGTGGAAAGACTGGCCTGTAGCTACAGTGCTTTTAGGCCTTTGCAGGTCAACTTTTATTACTTGGTTCACAAAATCAACCAACATGAAAAAAACTAAAATATTTTTTTAAAATTACTTTTGGAATTGGACCAACAATTGGGTATTATCCCAAGAGAAGAATTTGAAAGCAAACCAACTAACACAAAATTAAAGTCTTTTCAACATGTAAAAAGGTTCGCTGAGCACCTTTAGAATACTCTACCACAACTTCTTGTGAGGAGATCTCTGCCGAAGGTCACATGTCCCCAAGACAAGCAACCTTCGGATTGTTAGCCAGACTGAGCTGTGTCCACATTGTTAAACTTAGTGCGAATTTTCCTAGTCATGCCTGAGACGTTACAGAACTGAACAGAAAGGGTAGAATAGGTTATGGAGACTTATGAGGTTACGGATAGGCATGGTGTCTCATGACTTTAGTCTGCGGACACTCACGGGTGATCCTGATGCCATTTGGCACACTCGTCCCCTTCAATAATCGACACGAAACCGAGTGGTAAGGGATGAAGTTAATATGGCACGAACGGTTCCAATGACAGGTTTTAATAATATTGTTGGGTGATTTGGACACAGAAAAGTGTGGGAGGAAACACTATAAGGATAACATGGATCATAATAAGGAACTGGAAAGGCATAGGCATGGCTAATGATGCCACGAGAGTGAGTCTGATTTTGAATCATTACTGATGGAATGTAGTGAGTGAACATGGTTTGGATGGAAATTCCATGACAGTTGACTCTATCCCAAACAATTTGACATAAAACTACTTTATCCTGCTAATTCATCATTTTTGTAAGAAGAATAAAGGCAACTGTAAATGTGCAAACAATAAGAAACAAGAATACCCAGACAAGTGTATATATTTGTATGCTTCATGTCTTCTGCCCCAATGTTTGAAATTGCATTAGAAGGGGTACCTATCTGGCCACATAATTTCACAAATAACATTATAGTGACTAAGGGTATTGTGAAGTTTGTGGTACTGTGTTCTAAATGTAGGCCAGGTTCACATAGTGTTCACATTCATACATGTGCCTGTATTTAGAGCTCAACTAATAGTCTACCTTAACCATGTTAACACATGCTTAATAAAATAAAATTTGGTTTGTGATTCATCATGTTCATGTGATTTCTCATTTCTTATTCATAATCATGATTATTGATGAATATATGTATCAACTCGATGATCAAGTTTACATAGTTACATGGTTTGGGCTCCCGACTAATGACAGTGGTAACACAAACAGCCTATTTGTCACTGCCAATTATCAATCCCATTTAGCATAATCATAAGGAGTCTTTCTAATTTTCATTTTTATTTATCATATTCATTAATTACAAATGTACAATGTTGAAGTTTTCAATTTCAGTTGTGTGTAACAATCATGGGTGGCTTCTCACATTGTACATGTATGGATGTCACAGTTTATGTTGGAAAATCCTTCAACAATCTTATTCATGTTGCTTATGTTTTGTTTAGTTACATAGGATAGTGCATTATAAAGTGTTTTACTTACAACTTAGACAGCTGCTCAGTGGGGCTAGATAATATTATTACCCTAGTCAATGGATAAGTGTATACCTGAATTTCTGTCTCAGCTCCCTAGGAAATATGCAACCCAAGCTGCCCGTGGAGCACTAGAAGGTTAACGGTTACATTACCTTCTCATCCTATGCCCATTCTTAACTCGGTGGACAAAGGCATATTTTGAACAGTGCAAAGCCCAAAAAACTCTCGGTAGTCAAGCTTGATGAACAGTCACCCATCCACCTACACTCCGCGACCAACATGGCTTAATTTCTCCTGATTGTAACTCGTGTGCTGTACACAGGAACACATGACACCACTTAATGCTATACTAGTAGTTCAAAACATTTCCCAATAGCATATAAGCTGAGTGAAACCTGGATTTGATCACGGGAATCCAAAGCTCTGATAAAATATAATGTATATGAAGAGAGGGGTGATTGATACTATAAACCTGACAAAGGCATACAATTGTATTATTGTATTCAGTTTGAATCCCTACATGAGTACAATGTGTGAAGCCCATTTCTGGTTTATTATAACATGTATAGATCACATCCATGCCAAAACGTATTTGATTGTTATTATGGCCTACATTTGACATGTTTGAAGCGAGGAAACATGGTCCCCAAAAAGTGTTTGTTCTTTGGGTTTGGTCTAAAATAACTTATAATAATAAAATAAATTATTTTCGACAAGCTTTTTTGCATGACACTAACCATGTTCATATTCTGTAGAAATATCAAAGTGCCCTTTTCGCAGTGGTTCCGTACTGATGTCGAAACTGCACTTGACAAGCCCAAAAGGCCTTATAATCCTTCATACACACATTATGTGTCACAGGCACAAGAGTCATCATGCGTCATGTGCAGTTTGTACCTTCATTTTAGGGATAGCAGGTTAGAGTTACCACAAAGTTTTATAATTGATTATATATGTCCGTAGAGTTAAGCACTTTTCGTAAAAAAAAAAGAAAACAATCCGGATAGGGGGGTTAAACAAGTACCAGAAACTCTATGTTTTTTCCTTAATGTAGTGATGTAAGTTGTTGTTTTCCTTGTTGTGTTACCATGGTTACATGTGTCTATATTTATTATGACAGTCAATCACAAGCTACTTGTTAGTGTCTACTTTCAACATATATTATGTAGTATCACTGTTCATTGCTGTTTGATTGCTTGTACTTCACATGACAATGTATCAGTGTAATCTTTAGATCATCAGCAGCTTGATTGTTTGTGTCTAGGTACAACATTTATTAAATGGCACATTACATGACCATTTGAATATTGATTGCTCTTTCCTAAGTTTTCGAGGCTGGTTTCAAGTGATTTGTTATTGTGCTGACCTCGAACTAGTTGGAAATTATTGTCATTGCTGGGGGCAGTATGACTCAACAGGAAGTGTAGCGTGTGAATAAAATTTTAGTTTTAACACTTTCATTTATCATGACCTGTCTAACAGGGCAAATGTTCATCTATGAAAGCTTATGTCCTGGACTCAATCTAAGACAAGGTTAGTGTGTCACATTTGCCCCCTGATAACCAGTGTCTAGTTATTGAAGTTAGCCGAGTACTATGGTACTTCATTTATCAGTCCTGAGGACAAGGTTTTTTTAAGAATGATGACCCCATTATGATAAATATTTATTTGACCAGTTCTCCATCATGTCCAAGTATCAGTATAATAAGCATGTGAAACATATCCATTCTATCATGATAGAAATGCTTTTGATACTGCCCCACCTTAATCCAAATGTTTATGACAATTTCTTTGGAGTTTATGCAGAAATATGATATCATAACAACATTTATGTCCGATGACTTCTGTTACCATGATTACTGACAGTCACAAATTCGTCTTTGTGATCACGTGTATTAGACCAGACTTAGAATCTGACAGTCACATGTGTGATAATCTCAGCAGCATAAAACCCTAACATTCCTGACACATTTTATTGTATAGGTACATATGTCTAAACGTTAACCTTACTGTGTATGTACATGAAATACAAACTTGGTTTGTATCCATAAGTATTTGTCGAGTTGTCATCCATGAACTAGTCACTCCTGCTGGAATATTATTTCTTTCCTACTTATGTACAATGTGTGAAGTCCTCCATCCATCCTTAATGTGCTCCATCTTCATTGGCTAGAATATTTCTAAAAGTGTCCTAAAACTAGGGCCTAAAGGATAGGCCAGATCATCAACATGGTCAAGGCTGCCCAACCCATAGCCATTGACGTATCATCAGTAGCCAACATGATAATCAACATCTGAGTAACCATGATAACATGATATATAAAATAAATGTACTTGAGTACATATCTATAACAGTATGAGTCAAACCATTCTCTATCATATATATAATACAGACAATTTCTGCACTTAGTGAGGTCGCCCATACAATAGCAAGATAAACAGGTCACACATGGTTTTAGTGTGGTTATTATCTGGACATTGTACATTAGATGTGTAGCAACAAGCTCAAAGGCTTCTATCTTCACAAAATTTTTACTTTAAGGGCATTAATACTTAACTTAAGAAACCCTGTATTATGTGAATGTAGAATGAAAAATAATACACA